TGAAAGAATACAAAGATACATTCCTGACTGCCAAGGCTTTGCTCATCTTCCTAAGGGCCCCCGGCTGTCCTCTCTGTCTGAGGCAGCTCACACCATCTCTCTGTCTCGTGTTGCACAGAGAGAGGGGTGCTCTCGAAGAGTCAGCTGCTCCAACCGAGCGTCTCAGGGGAAAATGGACAGGCAGCGAGCCTGGTGTAGAGGAAGAGAAAGTTCTCTGAACCCACTCTTAACGGAGGCCTACACCCTTCAAAACCTCTACCTCTCACTGTGTCTGGTGGCGGGGGAGGGAAGGGCGGGTAAAGGAGGGGAAGAGGTCTTTTTATTTAAGCCATGGCTGGACACGCAGTGGACACACGGGGCCAGCGTCTACCACAGCACACAGAGGATGCTAGGAACACGGGGCAGGGGACAGAGAGACGGGACCCTGGGCTGCCTGGTGCTGGAACCTGACTCAGACAAGGACCAGAAGAAAGGGGGCCATGCCTGTCAGTGTGGGATTTCCTTAAAGTGTGAGCCACAAGCCAGAGAAATGACTTCTTTCCTTCATTCTTGAACACTGGCCAGTTAGCTGCTAATTAGCGTGTGTATAAATTCCAGCAGGAAGGCCGAAAATTCCATCTCCACTCCAGCAATCAGCTTCCTCCTCCAAAACCTGGCCTTGCCAATCTCCCAAATAAACCCCTGTATCGCACAAAGCATGGTCTCTGGCCGGGCTTCAGAATAGCCAGAGGCAAAGAGGTGGAGACACACTCCGGGCCTCCCCAGCCCCCTGTACACACGCTGCCCTTCATCCTCTTTTTCGGCAGCCTAACACGAAGCAACATGGGAAACAGAGATCCTAGCATCCTCATTAACCCATAAAATGAGAGCTATGAAGAAACTGGGGGCCTTTTAGGGTCAAGGAGTTAGGAATGCTTCCAACACAGACTTTTAAGAAGTACACACCTAGGAGGGAGCAACCCACTAGATTGGAAGGCTCTGGAGCATTAGAGACTAGAAGAACAAACATTTAGTGAACACCTACTATAAGCAGGCTATTGTTCTAGGCCAACCAGATAAGCACTCCTGTATGGAGTTCTCAATCACAGAAGAGGTATCTTGAGTAAAAACATTAAGATTTGCAAAGGGAACCTGCTAAATGCCTGGTATAGAGGGAAGGCATGATCCCCAGGACAGGCTGGGTGGTCGGGAGAGCCTCACATCAGCGGGGGCGCTTGACACAGTCCCAGAGGCAGAATAGAATTTTTCTCCATCTCTGGTCCCCAAGTCACCCGAGGAACACTTTAAAAAAATATAGATTCCTGAACCCCACTCCAGACATACTGAATCAAAAATTCTAGAATGTTACCCTGGAATTGCTATTCTTTTTTAAGAAAAGATATTATAATTATGGTAAACTTCAAACACATACAGCAGTAGATAGGACAGTGGACCCCCCCTCCCATGTGGGCATCACGTAGCCTCAGCAATCATAAACTCAGGGCTGTTTTCTCTCTCACCAATATCCTTATCCATTTCCCCTCCTCCAGTATTATGGAATCTCTGTACCTTTTAAACCAGGGACTCTGAGGCAGTCAGAACATGGATGTGAACTGGGAACCACTCATTGATCAAGACACAGATTAGGAGAAAGGGATTTCCAAGGACGGGGGGACAAAGGCTCCGAGAAATGAAAAAGAATGGCATTGGGGGCAGAACGGCAAATAATTTGGAGCACCTAGAGGGTGGGATATATGGTTGGAGGGAACAGTGATAAGGGTCACAAGATCATTGGGGGCCACCAGAGCCCCGTGTGCACAGACGGTGTCTTTGTGAGAGACACAATAAGCCATCTCCTCTGGGTAGAAAAAGCACCCCTTCCCTGGGCTGAAGCCAGCCACACCAGCAGAGCCGGCCTAGATGCCATCCGCCACTCACTGCTTGCGCCCTTGGCTCTTGCACTGTGCCCAGACCACACAGCTGTGCATAGCAGGCCTGGGGCACGCGCGAGTCTGAAGGAGGCTAAAAAGGGAGCGTGTGACAACTGTGTGCTTTCAAAGAATGGCGGGCAGCAGTGGAGGGGGAGGGCAGACAGGAGGGCAGGGAACCGAGAGGCAGTGAAAGAGTCAAGTCTGTCAAAGACTGCAAACTCACCTGGGAAGAAGGCACAAGGCCCCGAGGTCATGTCTTGAGAGAGAGGCTTGGGGGAGAGAGCTTGTTTGGGTTCTGGGGATAACTGGGGGGCTGGATGTAGTGACAGAGGGTCACTGGTTCACAGGAGTCATTTGAAAGCACGCACGTGTCGGACTTTTAGGGTAGGAGGAAGGAGGGATGAAGGCCCTGGGGAAAACCAGCATTTAGAGAATGGAGGTTGGAGGAGAGCTACAGCTAGGCCAGGCCATACAGAGACTGAGAAGGAATGGTCAGGGAGGTGGGAAGGAATGTGTGTGGGGGGGAGGGGAAAGTGTGGCTCATAGAAGCCAACAGAACAAAAGTGTTCACAGGTGTGATGAGAGGGAAGTGGAAAGGGGAGAAGTAGACATGTAAGGGAGAAGCGAATTTTGGAGAACCTGGGATGACAAGCCAAAGAGTTTGGACTTGAACTTGAGAAGGCGGGGTGACAGATGTCCTGGTGTACAGCATGAGCTTGCTGATCAATCACTTAGGCTTCCTAGGTCTGCCACTGACCGAGTAGGGCCTTGGGCAAGCTACTTAAGGGAACGCTCTGAATCCCTGCCAGTATGCTGGATGGTTATACCCACTGTAATAGGGATGGAATGGGGAATGATGTCTCAGAGGATGGCCGTCCTTCTTCTGTCATCGGCACCTAACAGTGTACTGCCTTGTAGTATGGCTGAGCTCTTCCTACACCTAACTCTTGTATCTCCAACGGGCTTGTGAGCTGCTTCGGGGGCAGAGATTAGGGTTTTAAACTAACTGAAGTCAGTGGTCATTTGTTGACTATTTACTATGTGTAAGACAAGAAGAGCATGTAAAACAAGATGATGGAGGGGTTTACAAAAAATAGATATGTAAATAAATGGTCCTTAAGGGCATTTGCAACTTAGTGAAGGATCCATAGCGACGCCTAACGCTAACTAACACAAGGTGGACAGTGGTAGGCACAGCAACAAAAGTCTCAGGTCCCATTCATTCCCGAATTGCAGACGGAAGCGTGGGTGATGGAGAAACTTGCTCTGGCTGGTGGGACCAGGCTTTGTGTGGGCAGGCAGTACTGTGTGAGGCCTCTGTCTGAGGAGGGCATGAGCACAGGCTAGCTGGGAATTGGCAGGTGGGTTTGAGAAAAGCTGAGAACCTTGGTGGGTTCAAAACAAGGTGCTACGGGGACTGCAGAGAGAAAGGGGTACCAGGATGTAGCAGACACAACCTAAGCAGAGCCCCAGTGAGTCCCACTCTGCTATAATCCCATAGTCCCTCCCTGAGTATGGTGGAAGCTGGGACTTCCTCTAACCAAAAGAAGGTGGAAAAGGCAATGTCATGTCACTATCACGATAATGTGACATTACAGGGCAAAGGAATTGTGCAGATATAATAAAGGTTTGAGTTAAACAAATCATTTGAGTTAAACAAAAGGGGGATTGTCCCAGGCAGGCCTAATCTAATCAAGTGATCCTATAAAAAGAGGGTCCAAGCCTTCCCTGGAGTTAGAGACTCCAAGCAGGAAAGGCTTTCTCTCCGGCTGGCCTTGAAGAAGCCAGCCACATGCTGCAAGGAACGGAGTTCTGCCTACCAGTGTGTGAGCTCAGAGGAGGACCCCAAACTTTAGACAAGCATACGGCCTGACACCCTGATCACAGCAGAGAGACCCCAAGCCGAGGGCCACGGTGCACCGTGCCTGAACTCCAGGACCACAGAAACAGGGGGATAATAAGTGGGTGCTGTCTGAAGCCCCTAAGTCTGTGGTATTTTGTTACGCAGCAATAGGAAGCCAATACAGGGACTCACAGTGTGGTGCACCGTGACCAGCAGGCTGAAAAGTTCAAGCTTTATTTTGTAGGCTGGGGGGGAGGTACTGACTCTTTTTGAGCAGAGAGACGCATACTTGAGGAAATTAAGAGTCGTCAGTAAAAAGGAAGTCTGGGGTGAGGGTTGGTCAGAACCCCTCAACGAGCATTTAGTCAGAACACTGCTCCCAGGAGAGGGTCAGGAAGGTTCTAGTGACTAAGTTCTGGGTTGAACCCGGCTAGCTATTCTTCTACCCAATTGAAAAAAGGTGGGGGGCGGGGGGCGGTGGCAAAAACCAAGTCAAGAAACTGACAGTTATTGAGAAAACCTTAAGGAACTTTAGTGTCCTTGTTGCTAATTATAAATATTTACTCCTCCCAGAACTCCTGACCTCACAGAAGAGCCTGCGTAAATAGCCCCGCTCCCTTACTGGAAAATTAGTATGTGAGTGTGTGAGTGTGCGTGTGTGTGTGTGTGTTCTATGTTTTCTTGGAAGGGGGACAGGGCGGCAGTGAGGGACTGGATGATCTGCAGTAACTTCCTGTTGGATATTGTCTAGCTCCCTTCCCCTCCTCCTCCTCGAATCATAAACCCAGAGACCCCCAAGCAACTCCTCCTCCTCCTGATTCTATCTGCTGGAGACAACAAAGCCAAACAAACTCAGGAAGTGGCAAGAGGTTGGGAAGGGGAGGAAGTTCATGGCACAGAAGGAAAAAGTAAAGAGAATGCCCTGATGTTGAAGGAAGAGGGTGGGGAGGGAGAGAAATGAAGGTCACTCCAAGGTCGCTCGGCGCCAAGCCTTTAAAATGTTGTGCTTGGGCTTTCAATCAAAACTGGCACAAACGGTGGGTCAGATCTCCTGAGGCTATTCAAATATTAACATTCACAGTGATAAACAGCCCCCAAAAAAGTCCTCTGCGGGCAAATTAGAACAAACAACTCATCTAAAGCGGGTTGCTAAGAGACCAGTTGGGCGGGAGCCAAAGTCAGTTCAAGTGTCTGGAGAATTCTTTATTTTTTCGCTTTCACGAAAGGCAGGAGGAGGGAAGAGCTACCTGTAGATGACTCCATGTTGGTGGAGGAACATGAGGGCTGACGTAACCTCTGCAGCATAGAACCGGGAACGAGGCTCGTCGAATTTTCGGGAGCGCTGAATCTGGAACATAAGGTCGCCACCATTTACATACTCCATGACGAAAAAGAGGCGGTCCTGAAAGGAGAGCAGAAAATGCCATTTAGGTAATTCCACTGCTGCTTCCACACGGGCCAGAGAGCATCTCCTGAGCCCGAATCCAAGGGGGAAGAAGGTGCAGAGATGGATGAATCCTGGTAGCACGAAATCCAGACAGAAGACAGAAGACAGATAATCCAGACAGCACACGGATTAGGGTATGACGTATTATTTTAAATCTCTTTCTCTGTTTTACTTTTATGAACATCAGCTTAGCTTAGTGGAGGAAGCCCAAAACGGACAGAAAGGAGACCTGGGTCTTTGATTTCTGTGACAACCCTGAAGTGTTTCCTTGGACAAGTCGCTGTCCCTTTGGAGGCTCCAGCTACCTTTATATGTGCGGGAGGTTGGATAATGGCTCCCCACCAGATATCTATGTCCTAATCCCTTTACGTGCAAGTGTTACCTGAGACAGCAAAAAAGAACTTTGCAGATGTGATTACAGTAAGGATCTTGAGATGGCAAGTTATTCTGGATCACCAGGGTGGGCCCTCAAAGCAATCACAGGTGTCCTTATAAGAGAAAGGCAGGGGGGAGATTTGAGAAGCAGGAAGAGGGCAATGTGGCCACAGAAGCAGAGACTGTGCTGTGGCCACAAGCCAAAGAACATGGCAGCTACCAGAAGCTGGAAGAGGCAGGGATGGACTCTCCCCTGAGGGCCTGGGGAGAGAGCAGGGCCCTATGGACACCTTGATTTCAGCCCAGTGACACTGGTTCCAGGCTTCTGGTCTCCAGAACAATGAGAGAATAGATTCAGATTGTTTTAAGCCCCCACCTGGTGGTAATGGGTGAAGGCAGCCCTGAGAAACTACTACAAGGTCCCACGGGCTATTGAGGCTGCGAGGGCCCCTTCTGTGGGACACTTTTCACTCTGGAGGATGTTCCTACTGGGATACCCATCTTGGGAATTTCCTATGGCTTCTTTCCTCAAGGTGGCCTCCGAATGACCCAACCACACTCATACCTCATCGGAGGAGGGGCCTTCTTTATCTTCACTCAGTGCCAGTGTGTGAAGGAGACGGATGGAAATTCACTTTTGCAGCTTTCTGACTACTATTTCCCAAGCCTGTAAGGTGTGGGGTGCTGTGCTGGGCGGGAGGCAAAGAATGGCAAGCCAGCACTGTCCCCTGCAGAACTTAGGAGCCAAGGGTGGAGAAGGGGAAATGGGCAGAATGAAGGAAACAAAACAGGAGCGGAGTGTCTTAAAGATGAACGAGCAAGAGAAAGGTGGGCTCTCTAAACTGGGGGCCACGGACGATTCTGGACAGAGCTAGGGCCTGAGACAACAAGGAGGCGGGGGTGGGGGGCAGGAACAAATCCCAGGATTTGGGGACAGGGTGAGAATGCCGAGGGCGGGGGCTGAGCAGGTCAGCGGGGGAGGAAGGAACGCTGGGGAGGCCAGAGGGGTAAGCACATTCTTAACATATAGACAGAGTCTAAGTGAAGCTGCCAGGAGGAGGTGATCATGCTCCTTCTTTATTCATGAAGCAGCTGTGATAGCATATTTATTATTGGCATTGCTTTGAAAATAAGTCCATCGTTAAGAACTGTTACGAATTCAGACTACCTTCTGCCCGACAGTCTCCCAATTTATTCAAGCTATACTGATACTCACAAAGGGCCTACGGTCTACCTTCTCTTCCATTTGTCTTCCTTCCCCTTAAAGGTCTGCCCCGTTTTCTCCCCAGAGTACGATTCTGGACTCAAAAGTACATAGGCTGCCTTGTCAGCCATTCCCTCAATCACCCATTCCCCATTCAAATCCTCATTACAAAAACCGAATGCTCAGGCTGACCCCAGCCCCATGAGACCAGAATTTCTGAGGGTGGGCCTCAGGCATCGGTCGTGCGCAAAGCTCCCCATGGGACTGCAGTGTGCAGCCCGGGTTCAGAACCACGCTTCCATCTGGGTTCTGCCAAGGTGTTTGGTGTCCGAGAGATACATGGATTAGAAATCATTTAAATTTTCCTTCTTCTGTTTGCAAGGATCTCCCAAGAACATGGGTTCTCCAGCTTGTGCATCGGAATCACATGAAGACTTGTGAGAACACGGATTCCGCCCCTCACCCCCGAGTTTTCTATTCGGAAGCCCCGGGGTGGTGAATCGGAGCATCGGCCTCTCTCGCCCCACTGAGAACCACGGCCCCAGAGCGCTGGGGGCCAAAGGGCAGCTGCACCATGCGCCCAGCACTGCCCCGATCTAGCTGAGTCCCAGCATCAGACGGCCTCTGGGATGCCCTGTCGTGCGGCCCAGCCGGACGTGGGCCTCAGCAACAATGCCGTCTTTCCTCGGCTCTGTTTGAAGGAATCCAAGGCTTTCCAGAGGAGAAAACCTCGCTTCTCTACACCCTCCTGTGCTCCCTGGCTGCTTTTGATCCCACCAACCCTAGACACACAGCATTTAAGAACAGGGTCTGTGGAGTGACAAAGAAGGGCTCCCACCGAACTCTGTCACTTACTGGCTAGGTGAGCTCAGGCAAATGACTTCCTCCCTGTGCTCAGTTTTCTCATCTGTAAAAAGCGGATGATAGAGGACCTGCCTTACAGATGTCTTATGGGGATGATATTATATGTTAAAGTGCCAGGTTCGAAATGGGTGCTCCAGGAAGGTGGCCTCATCCTATTGTCACCGATGGCATAGAGCTGCTACCATCACCAAGTCTTCCCTTCCCGTCCTTTTAGCAGTATTTTCCTCCGGAGCACTTCCTCTTCCAAAAAACACTTGGCTCCCTTGGCTCTCAGGCCAGTTTCCTCCCCATGTCTCGGGCAGGTGGTCTCGGGCCTGCTCGTGCGGGCTTCTCTCCCCAGCCATCAGGGGGCTCTAGGGCCCCCCCTTCCTCACTCTGTCCTGGCTGAGCAGTCTCATCCACACCCACAGTGTCTAATGCACTTCGCTCGGCACAGGTGACCCGCGAACGTCAACCTCCGTGTCAGACTTCTCCTCCAAGCCACGTACCCATTTATCCAACTGCGTTTCTTTTTTTTTTTTTTTAAGATTTTATTTATTTATTTATTTGACAGGGAGAGAGAGAGAGAGCGAGCACACAAGCAGGGGGAGCGGCAGGCAGAGGGAGAGGGAGAGGCAGGCTCCCCGCTGAGCACAGAGCCTGATGTGGGGCTTCAGCCCAGGACCCCGGGATCATGACCTGAGCCGAAGGCAGATGCCCAACAGACTGAGCCACCCAGGCGCCCCTTTCCAACCGAATTTCTGACATTTCCCTCTAGATGCCACAAAAGCACTCAACTCAACACGTTCAAAGCTGACTCGGTAATTTCCCCCCAGTGAACCGGTCCTCGTCCAAGGCGCCTGTGCACAAGCCAGAGACCTGAAACTCACTCTGGGTACCTCCCTCTCCCTCATCCCTTACATCCATCACCAAGCCCTGTTGCTCCTCCCTGTTGTACTTGTGTACTGACTATTTTGTACCTGCTACATTTGTCTACTTCTTTTAGTCTCTGCCCGCCTCGGCTCAGGGCCACCATTCTGGTCCAAGTAATTAATTATCACCTCATCTAGATTCTTAACGAGTGCCTTCTTCCTAATGCTCCCCACACTGACTAGTCCCCCTAGCAAATGCGGATCACACTACAGGCAGTTACCCTGCTGAAATGAAAATCTGAGTGTAACCCATCCCCCTCCCTCCTCTCTTTCTATTGATTATTCTTTTAAGGGCTTCCTATTACTCTTGGAATAAATAAGAAACTCCTTAATATGCCTGATGGCCTATTATGATCTGCCCAATCTACCTTCTTCTGAGTCGTCTCCCTTCCAGCCACCTCTGGTTCCCTCTGTCCCAACAGCAAATTCCCTCTTGCCACAGGGCCTTTGCTTATGCTATTCCCTCTGCTTGGAATGTTTCCCCTCTCCCTTCCCCTGGTTAGTCCCTCCTCATCCTTGAGATTCCAGTACAGCCGTCTTTTCTTCTAAGAAGCTGTCCCTAACTTCCCTGACAAGGTCAAATCTCATTATTATATGCTGTGTTCTCCCCTGTAGCATTCAGGAGGTTTGATTTGCATAACTGACTCATGTCTTTCTCCCCCGGCTGTCTGTCTGTTTCATGAAGGCAGGAACTGTTAGAAATTCTGCCCTATTAGTTTGTAAGGGAACTAGCCTGAGCCCAAAAGAAAAGCTTCCCTTTATTATTATTCTAATATATAATTCCCTTTAAAAACAATCATTGTGTGGATGGAAGAATGAAAAAAGGTTATGGGCTGGAAAGGAGAAAGGGAACCAAAGGGAACTCTGATTTTTGGAGCTGCAAACTCTTACTGCTTAAGGAGCTAGAGACAAGTCAGCCTGCTGCAGAGAGCCGCCTGCCTGCGGAATCGGGAAATGAGTACCCACTCTGACCAGTCTGCCCGCATGGGGGTCTGTCTGTATCAGCACCCTGGATTCAGTTACAACTCTAAACAGTTCTTTCGTTCCATGGGCAGTGTCTTCACTTCCCAGTGAGACGGTCAGTTCCTTGAGGAACACAGTTTCTTCTTCCTAGCAACCCCCCCCACCACCAGCTCTGAACTCCGTAACTAAGGAGGCACTCAATAAAAATCTGCTCATCCAACATTCGCTCCGTGTGAGCATCCCGAGGGAGGGATTCTTGTCGGGTCAATCCCTTACTGGATCTCCAGCAACGAGAACTGAGCCCGGCATACAGTGGGTTACCGGTACGTCTTTGTCGAATGCATGAGTTCTTGAACATCCACCACACATGAAGCTCTAGTTGCTGGAAATTCAATAGTGAACCAGAGCTGGTTTCCCTGTGTTATTCCTGTTGTTAACCTCACTTGGAGTTAGTCTAACATTAGCTCATTTTGAACTTCCGCTGAAACCTGCTTTCTACTCAATATACCTCAATGTGCACAGCCCCCAAGCAGAATCACCCCTCTTTAAATTGGAGGGACAGATGTTCAAAGCCAGATCAATTTTTCACTCCCCCTCCCTCCATTCAGGGAGTTTGGATCCTTTCTGACCTCCACACC